TTTCTTCTTTAGTATATACGGCCTAAATATCTCTATATATTTGACGTTCTTATACAGATCAAAAAGAATACATTTGCGTAACATTTGCGTAGAGTAAGAACTTTAAAGTTTAAGCCAATTCTGACTGGTAATTTACAAAATAACAAACACATTTCTTAAAAAAAAATTCTGAATCAGAATACTTTTCCGGTTTCCATCTTCGATTCTGCAAAAAATTGAAAAGTTCAGGTGATAATTTAAGAAATATCCACCTATAAAGAGACTAAACAATTATCAGGTTGATCAAGTTCATGTAATACCAAATTTAATAAATTGTCTGATTAAATGATCGCGTATATTAAATGATCGCGTATATTAAATGATCGCGTATATTAAATGATCGCGTATATTATAAGGCTATAAGGCCTATTAATTCCTAAAAAGTCAATTCAACCACCATTTTATTTAACCGCTATTTATTTGTACGTTTTTTTTTTTTGAAAAAAAAAAAAACTTTCTTTCTGAAAAGTAGAGTCTTCCTCCTATACCGTTTGCTGTCGTGTATAGTGTGTTATAAGAAAAGGCGGACTTGTTTAATTGATTATATGGGCATAAGCTTATGTTATATAGGCGTAAAACTTATATAATCAGTTTGATAACGCAACTAAAATCCTTTAATCAAGGGTTAAAATAGGCATGATGGGATATTCTCATATATCATGAGCTCTGTCTGTTCGAAGTGTCGTTTTATATATAATTAAGTAGGCTTAAGTCGTAAGTAACTTTTTTATAACATTGATTATTGGAGAATTAAGTTGCAAAAATAATTTTTAGTTTGTAAGACTTTAACTCCATACCAACTTGTGTGTGTTTGGGCGTTAATTTATTCCCTAACCCTTAGACCTACTCGTGGGTTAGGTAGGTTGCTTTGCACTTCTTGCAGCCTATCTTCTAATGGGTTTTAGGTCCACGTTTGCCCATTTAAAATTTATTAAACAGGATGTCATTCGTCCAAACACATTGCAATGTTTGTTGATGAAGCTATGGTTGTCTAATAAAAGTTCGCTTTGCCTGGCAATTTATAGTGGATTTAATGGATCAAATTATAAACAACAATAATTTAGTCATATGAGAATTCCAGGCCAAAGAATAAGGGTACATTGTCAAAGTTGAGAATATATTTGTATTTTTTTTTTAAAGCCGTCATTCTCATGAACTTTTTCATTGTATCCCTAATTTCAATGATTTTGGTAATGATGAAACTGCAGTTGTTTATAGGGGTTTCCCGCCAAACTTCTGAGGTGAATTTATGTCTGGTATTTTCGAATATACTTATCCTTTTTGCAATAGAGTCGTAGCGAGTCTTCTTAAAGCGTACCTGTGACACCCCATCCAACTTGGG